CTACAAGTTATCAAGCTTTTTGGATCAAGTCCATGACAAGCTACAAGTACAAGTTCTGAAGTGTTTTCTTTGCAAAAAAAAATGTTTGTATCCCACTTACATTTCTACAAAAGAAAATTAAATTTCTTTGAGTTTGTCCGCATTTTTTTGTTCTCCAAATTTATGCACGAAATTAGTGTTGACAAATGGTGGGACATCTCTTTCATCTCTTCTCTCGAGTCAACACATCAAGTTTGTTTTTAACAAACGGTTTGGAAGCATGGCTCCAAACTACGAGAGGCCAAGCATCGTCGGGAACAACAAAAACGCCACATATAGCTCAAGCTCGTTTAGATCAAGTGCATTTTTATTCTCCAACTACGAGAGGCCAACCACCTGTCTTATGACAAGGTCCGAGGATTCCCAACTAGTTGCACCTCTCGCCTTCTATGGAACTCAAGGGGTCCCTTCAAAAGTCTGAAATTCCAAAAATGGACCTTTAAGGTTGCCAACGGTAAGAGACATTAATATGAAGGGGGTAGCCCTGATGAAAGAGTTCATCATAACAAATCCGTTTGAGCATCCAAGTGGAGGAATGCCCATGTCGTACACGGAATTGAGTACCGGCTCAAGGTCTAGCTCCCATCCCAACTCTCCTAAGACTAGAGGGTCTGATTACATGCAGACTCACTCCTATACTTCAGTAGCACCCGTCATGATGGCGGGAGCTACTACGGTGGAACAATAACTTGCTAAGATGGTTGCGGCCATCGCCAAATTAACAAAGATAGTGGAAGAGAAGGACCTTCAAATTGCTCCTCTCATGAATCGGATGGAACAAATTCAAACAACGGCCGGGGCCTTCACACCCACCAAGGTTCACCTTGTAAGTAGACCCTCTCCAAGAGGAGTTGCCAGAATGTACTAACATACAGGACACCCAACATTCTTCGGTCGCCTCCCTCTCAGTACAACAACTCCAAAACATGATAGCTAACACAATATGTGCTCAGTATGGGGATGTTCCATAGTCATCCTCGGTGTATACTAAGCCATACACTAAGCGCATTGATCATATGCCTATGCCATTAGGGTACTAACCCCCGAAGTTTCAACAATTTGACGGGAAAGGTAACCCCAGGCAATACATTACACACTTTGTGGAGACATGCAACAATGTTGCGACCTATGGCGATTTGATGGTGAAACAGTTTGTGTTATCCCTATAAGGGAATGCGTTCGATTGGTACACTGACCTCCCTTCTAGGTCAATTGATGGTTGGAACCAATTAGAAAGAGAGTTATTGGATCGCTTCTACAGTACTTGGCATACTATAAGCATGTATGAAATTACCACCACAAAACAAAAGAAAGATGAACCAGTCATTGATTACACCGACAAGTGGAGAAATCTCTATCTTAAATGTTGAGACAAGCTCACTGAGACATCAGCCATTGATACATGTATTCAGGGTATGCATTGGGGGTTACATGACATCCTAAAGGGAATAAAACCCCAGACATTCGAAGAACTAGCCACTCGTGCTCATGACATGGAGCTTAGCCTACCCACCTTTGGGGAACAACGGCCACAAGACTTTCAAAAAGGAAAAAGAGAAGAAAGACTAAAAAAGGGAGGTAAAGGCATCTAAACCAAAGGAAGTTTTGACAACTTCAACGACCCCTCTTAGGGTTTCTAGGAGCAAAAGGGGAAGGGAAGAGACAAAGTCATTCGCTCGCCAAGAAATGTTAAAACCAAAGCTTACTCTTACGGAGTTAGAAGCAAAGGTGTACTCGTTCCAAGACGATGTGCCAGGGATGCTAGATGCTCTTCTAGCCCAGAAATTAATAGAGTTGCCTGGCTGCAAGCACCCAAAAGAAGAGGGGCAGACTGACCACCCTAAGTATTGCCGCTACCATCGGATAATCAGTCACCCAATCGAAAAGTGCTTTGTTCTCAAAGACGAAATAATGCAATTGACTAAATTAGGGATGATTGAGTTGGATGTAACTGATGATACATTAGCTACCAACATGACAACTATCACATTTGGGTCCCCTGATACTAAGTCCCCCCTAGAAACTCACTAATCATTAGTTGTACTGCCATATGAAATCGTGTTTGGTACTTTTGACCCCATTGTATGGGATCCAACATCAAGGGGACTACTAAGCCAAATACAAGTGCAAGATCTTAGTTTGGAGGAAATTCCTTCACCCCGTTCCATCATATCACTTTTAGACGATGAGGGTTGGACTATCGTTACTCGACGGAGGTGTCATGTTACACGTCAACCCAACCTACCTTGCGAGCGACCTAGGCAAGTCGGAAGGGTTCAATCGCATATACCACCCAAGAGCAAGAAAGAGAGGGGAAAAAGGTTCAATGGCATGTTGGGGGCAGGTGACTGTGGATGAGTTGAAAGAGTTAAATCTTGGACAAGAAGAGAACCCCCAACCTATTTATATTAGTGCACTCTTAAGCCCCGAAGAGGAATCTCAATACTTTGAGCTACTTAAAGAGTTCAAAGATGTGTTTGCCTGGACTTATAAGAAGATGCCAGGGCTAGACCCTAAGGTAGTAGTCCATCACCTCTTGGTCAAACGCGGTGCTCGTCTAGTAAAACAAGCACAACATCAATTCCGTCCCGAACTTAGACCACTTATTGAAGTTGAGGTTAATAAACTCATTGAGGCTAGATTTATTCGGGAGGTAAAATATCCTATGTGGATATCCAATATTGTCCCAGTAAGGAAGAAAAATGGGAAAATAAGAGTTTGTGTCGATTTTTGGGAACTTAACAATGTTTGTCCAAAAGATGATTTTCCTTTACCTATTACTGAGTTGATGGTTGATGCCAGTACGAGATATGAAGCATTGTCCTTTATGGATGGCTCATCGGGGTACAACCAAATTCGGATGGCCCCTGAAGATGAAGAACTCATTGCATTCCGTACCCCTAAAGTCTTGCCCTTTGAGCTGAAAAATGCTGACGCAACTTACCAACGTGCCATGCAAAATATTTTGGACGACTTATTGCACAACACTATGGAGTGTTTATGTTGACGATTTGGTCATAAAGTCAAGGAAGATAACTAACCACTTAGGTGATTTACACAAGATCTTTAGTAGGTTAATGCGGTATCAACTAAAGATGAATCCCCTAAAGTGTGCTTTTGGAGTGACACCTGGGAAGTTTCTTGGATTCATCATACGTTGTCATAGCATTGAAATCTAAAATTGATGCCATTCAAAATATGCCTGAACCTAGATTAATGAAGAAGAGAATGCCTTTTGCCATTCAAAATTGAAATTGATCAATTTAAAAGTCTTCAAGGTCACATTGCCTACATTCGGAGGTTTATTTCTAACTTGGCAAGGAGATGTATTCCATTCAATAGATTAATGAAGAAGGGAGTGCCTTTTGTCTGGGATGAGGCATGTGAGAATGCTCTCGAAAGCATAAAAAATTATCTCCTCAAGCCTCCATGCAAGAATCTGTGGAGCCGCCCATGCAAGAATTTGAGGAGCTCGCCAATCTAGGCCAAAACTTTATGATCGGATCAAGAGAATGGGTTGGGTCATGGGTCAACCCGCTGACCCAATTGTCAAGTCTAATTGGGACTATTTATGCATTGTTAGAAGTTTCTAGTCTTTATTTTTTTTATTTAGTATTTATTCTTTATTGTTTACTCTTTAAATTGTTAAATGTTCAAGTTTTTTATTTTATATTTGAAATTTTAAGGTTAATTCCTTTAATTTTAGAATTTTTCATGTAGTTTTTCTTTATTTTTTTTTATTTCAGTTTTTTTTTTGGGATGACCCGAATTAACCCATGGGTCAACCCTAACCTGAACATTTAGGGTTAGGGTCTAACATTTGATAACCCGAAGAGTCTTTATCCAACCCAAACCCGACCCACCCAACCCAATTGCTAGGTCTGCCTCTAATCAATGCTAGGGTAACAAAGAACACTTTCCTAAATGTCAGGGGAAAAATTAATAAGAAGCTTCCTAGTTGGAAGAGAAATACTCTCTCCCTGGCAAGAAAGCTTACATTGCTAAATTCAATCACTAATATAATGCCTCAATTCTTGATGAAGCCCTTTAGCAACATTCTTGAGGACATTGACAGGGCTCAAAGAAAATTTTTGTGGACCAATACAATACAAGTGATAAAAGGCCTCTTCACCTTTTGAATTAGGAAAGAGTTTGTTTGTCAAGAGTTGAGGTGATCTCGGTCTAAAAAACTTGCGTTGGATGAATGAAGCTAGCCTAATTAAATTGGGATGGAAGATTTTAGAAGAAGAAAAGAACCTCTTGGTTAGAGCTAGAGCTATAAAAAGTAAGTACCTCATCATTAAGGAAGATTTTTGGAATGCAAAAAAAAAAAAAAAGGGATTTCTTGGGCCTAGAAAGGAATTCTTGAAGCTTGAGATATCATTAAAAATAGTATTAGATGAGAAATTGGTGACGGTAGCTAATGTTGCCCCTTCTCCTCTAAGGAAAGAGAGAAAGGTTTGATTGAAAGACAAAGTGAGGAATCTGGTTCCAATAGAAATTTGGAGCAAGATCAAACCGACTTTTATTCCTTCTAGTCCAATAGAGGATATAAACCTAGATGGAAAATTTTCGTTGAAATCAGCCTATAAGTTGAAGTGCAGAATGAAGATTGGTAGGGGAAATGATTTAAAGTAGATATCTATCTATGGTCTGGAAGATTTAATGGCCCCCAAAACTGAGGGTGTTTTCTTTTTCTTCTATTGAACAGTAAGCTCCCATCAAAAAGTTTCCTCAAATCTATAGGGTATAATATTGAGCCAGGGTGTAGCTTCTATGCCTACTCACTTAATCGAAGGCCCTCATGAGCATGCCTCATCTTTGTTTGAGTGGTGAGTGAGGATCAGCAGCAAGATAAATTTGATTGGACAGGACAAATTAAAAGAGAAATGTGTGCACTTTCTTTGGTACATGTGAAAAATGGAAACCAAAGGGTACTCTTAAGAAAATAAAATGTCAAATTTATCCTTCATTATTTATCAAATTTTCAAAATAAAATCTAATTGATGAAAAACCCCTGCTTTCCAATTTTTCAAAGCTTTGCTTGACCCAATTTTGCCCTTCGTCCCTCTCTCTTCTTCTTCACCATTTCTCTCTCGGGCGGCCATCGGTGGTTGTTCAATAATTGTTTTGGTCTCAGGTAAGGGGTTTCTTCTGCTTTCTCCCCGCCCTTAGACACCCTTTGCATTCGCCGGAAAGTAGAGTAAATTCTAAATTCTAAAACAGCCGCTTGCATACCCAAAGTTCCACTCTGCTGCAACAAATGGTCCAATCATCAATATCAAATACATCCCAGCTCGCWGAACAATCTTCACTAACTTGACCAGATTGTAGCGCTTATTAAAATAATACTACAAGGTTGAGAGTAAAGAAATCTAAGTTCCTCTTGAGCAAAACACAACAAAACAATAAAGAACCAGAGCTGATTCCAAAGTTAGTTGCATCCAATAAAACATCCTCTGATTAACTCACATTGCCAGGGGAAAGCTCATGTCCATTCCAGAACATAAGTCTCTATTGCATCAGCCCCTCCTTCTTTAGCAGTTTTAACGAGCTCCGGCCACATCTACTTCAACCCACATTTACCATTATCAAGGTTATGAATAATGTCCAGAAAACTAAAGGAAAATAAGCAAAAACCAAACAAGTAAATGAAATTTCTTCAATTCAGGGCCAACAGAGCAAGAAAGGACGAAACTCACTCCAGGAACACTGCGAGGGTAATGAATGGAAGAAGAAATGATGAGCTTTCTCTGGCCATCGAAGATAAAAGAACGACTGTCATRCGTAATATTAATGGGTAAAGACAATGCAGAGAAGCAAAAGAAGAGCAAGAACAGAGAGYCATSGAAATGGAGATAGAAATGTTCTTTTCCGCCATTGTTGAGCTCAACTAGAAGCTCATCTGAGCTCAACTACCCTCGAGTCCAAAAGGGTCTAAGAAGCAAAGCAGAAATAGTCTGCATTTAATCCAACAAGATCAAATAAACTGGTTTTATAGCAAAAAATAGAGCGCGTTGATGTCAGCAAGACGGCAATGRTAATTACTCTTCAACCAGATTCCTGCYAGAGAGAGAGAGAGGGAGAGAGCAAATTAGCAAAAGAAAACAGCTTTCCSAATTAACAGCTTTCGAGATTCAGAGTCAGAGAAGATTTACTTTTGGCTTAAACGAGTTTATGTGACGCAGATTACATGAGCGTCACTACTGCCCACTCTGAGACAGGTTGGCCGTCGAAAGGGGACGAAGATGAGGCTGGAGCGATGCCGGACAACGCGAGAAAGCTGCTGGTGCTGTATATTCAAATTGATGCTGTATACTCAGCACCGACGCCGGAGCGCTGCCGAAGAACGCCAGAAAACTGTCGGTGATGTATACTCAGCATCGACGCCAGAAAGCTACCGGTGCTGTATACTCAGCATCGACGCCGGTGATGCCCTTCCTCGCCACCGGTAGGAGAGTCAGGGAAGTAACAGAGATTTGGTGGGTTTGGAGAAAAAAACGGGAGAAGTGATCTAAGATTCCAAAAACTTTCGAATGAAATGAGGGAGCCAGAGGTGGAGGGGGCTATCGCCGCCATTGGTAAAGATGGAGCTAGCGGTTTGGCGGAGCCTCTGGTTAAGAAGAGATTTATCAGGAAATGGGTAGACGGAGCTAGACGGAGCCTCAAGTTTGGAAGTCTACGACCAGATCCCTGAGGTGCGCCTCGTCTTTGCCGGAGCCTCTGCTTAAGAGCTTAAGAAGAGCAGAGCCCAGAGCAGCAGATGGGTTTGCCTCCTTTCAGCCGAGTTATTGTGGACGTGCTTGGCAGCACTAGTTAGAACGGTCGCAAGGCGGTCGTGGTGTTCCGTCACCTCCTAGGTGGTCGTGGTGTTCCATCGTCATTGTAATTGTGATGGTGACGTGTATTGAACTCCATGCATGGCTCGTATATATGGCTCGGCTCGTATATATGGCTCGGCTCGTTAAGCTTGCGAGTCTATATAAGGAAAAATGAAAAATCAATCGAAAACCCTTTTTCAATTTTCCAAGTTCCAACCCTCCCTCTCCCTGCGCTGCGAGCCTGCAAGCTACAAGTCTGCGACTGCGAACTGTGAAGAAAACCCTTGTTTGGAACAAGAAACTAAGCAAGCATTGAGCGAAGAATCGGTGGTACTATGAAGAACACCCTTGTTCGGAACTAACCCTTGTCCTTGTTTCAACGTTCAACCCTCCCTCTCCCTGCGCTGCGACCTACGAGTCTATGATTGCGAGGCTGCAAGTTTGCAACTGTGAACCGGCGGTAATTTTCATTAGCTGACGCCCGACGAATTGGCGGTACTCACAGCTCTCAGTCAAATCTCAGCTCTTACGTTCTCCGTCTCTCACAATCGACGCCCGACGGTATTGTCACCTCTCACTCTCTTAGTCTCAGTCTCTCTTCTTCTTCTTCTTATTGATTTTGGGTTTTTTTTCTTTGTCATTTGTACAGCTCTGAGAGTTCGAAGTTGGAGCTTGGAAGGACTGATTGGCTCCCATCAACAACTCTATTACTAGTCGTCCAGCATTCAAAAGACCACCGCACCATCCAATCATCCATGCTAACTTGTTGCAGTATTTGTAAATCCACAAAACTCAATAAAATGGTAGATCATGTTCATATGATGCATATGCTTCCAACTTAAACAAGGGGTTGGCATGTCCATGATTAATTGTGGGGTTGTAGCTAATAGTTTCCAATTTTTTTTATTAATAGCTAAATGGTTACCAGTTCGATGAATTTAAATCTAAATCAATTTAATTTTTACTGTAGCATACCAAGAACTGTGAGGAGTGAGACGTAAATATTGGGGTCCATTGTAGCTAATGATTGTGGGGTGTTAGAACTGTAAGGAGTGAGAGTTAATTTAATTTTTCCAATTCGGTGATTAATTGTGGGGTTGTAGCTAATGGTTTTCAGTTCACTGAAATCCTTGATTTAACTCTTCATTAGTTAAAGAGAAGATAAGTTTAAGGGTTTTCATTTTGAGGGCTGGGAGGTAAATAATGGGTCCATTGTTAGCTTAAGGGTTTTCATTTTGACTAGTTTGTAAATTATTTTTTCTCGTTTTGGTCAACACTTTGCACTTGTCATTAAACTTCTCATGGCTTTTCAATGATGCACTGAGTTGATAGCAAAGAAGCTATTGGCTTGTACACATTATAAGATTTCACTAGGATTTAGGAAGGATATGCCCTATTAATTTTATTCTTTCTTTTTTTAGTTTGCTAATTATTTATGTAATTAGGTATAACTTATAATTGTTGATTGATTTATATATGTAATTTGGTATAACTTATATGTCCTAATCTACTCTTTATCCAAGCATGTTGACTGATTTATATTAACGATTAGAATGATCAAGTGGTAACTAACCAATTTGAAATGTAGGAATGCCATCATCCCCCATTCATGATCACAATCTTTCAACAAATATTCCCTTAACCTTTATAGGACCCTCGCTCTCTCATTCTGTGCCTGGTCCGTCCCCTGTCACTATGATTGACACTATCGATGATTTCTCACCAAATGAGATAAGTCAGATAGCAAATAATGCAAACAATCCCATTGCAAGTGCTCCTTCAGGTGGTACTCAAACTGGATCTCAGAGTCCTATTGAAGTTGAGGAAGATGGTCCAATATCGAAGTCAAAAAGGCAAAAAACTTCAGATGTATGGTTGGAGTTCGAAGAGGTAAAAATTGCTGATGGAACAAAGAAGGCCTAGTGTGTCCATTGCAAGAGTAAATTGTCTATACAATCTACTGGAGCTACAAGTCATATGGGCCGGCATTTGAAATCATGCATCCCAAGAAAAGTGGCTCTGAAAGATAAAAAACAATGTAAGCAGCAGATGATCTTGAATTTTCAACCAATAGATTCCAATGTTGATGTAGAAATTGTGGGTCCTCCTATCTTAGATCCTACAGTTGCCGCAAAGTATGACCATTCCAAAATGAGAGAGGCAATTGCTCATTGGGTTCTTATGCATGAGCATCCATTTACTGTAGTGGAAGAGGAAGGTTTTATTTTCATGATAAAGATGTGTAATCCATCTTTTGAAAAGATTTATCGGAAGACACTAAAAAACGATTGTGTAGCTGTGTATGAGGATCAAAAGAAGAAATTGAAAAATCTTTTAAAGGGTACTTCGAAGATTAGCATAACCACAGACCTTTGGAAGTCACAAAACCAAAGGATTGAGTATATGGTGATAATTAGTCACTTCATAGATGCCAATTGGAGGTTATAGAAGCGTATTCTTAGCTTTGTTCATGTTCCTCTACCTCATCGATGTGTCAATATTGCAAATGCAATTTACAAGTGTTTAAGGGAGTGGGGCCTCGAGAGTAAGGTGTTTACAGTTTCTGTGGATAATGCATCATATAATGATTCTTGTTTAAGGTTTTTGAGAGAGATCTTCTCTAGGAATAGGAAATTGCTTTGTGATGGAAAATTGTTTCATGTGCGATGTTGTGCACATATTTTGAATTTGCTGGAAAACTGTTGGTCACATCATAGTAAATGTGCGTGAGAGTGTCAAATACATTAACTAGTCTGAGGGTAGGAAACAGACTTTTTTTGAAATTGTACAACAGTTACAACTAGGTACAAAGAAGTTGGTTATTGATTGTCCTACCCATTGGAATTCAACTTTTGAGATATTGTCATGTGCTTTGAAATTCAGAGATGTGTTTCCAAGATTTCAAGAAAGGGAGCCCAATTATGACTACTTGCCAACTCTTGAAGAATGGAAAGAAGTGGAGAAAGTATGTGAGGTACTTGAAGTGTTCAGTGTAGTTACCAACATTATTTCTGGTAGTGACTATTCTAGTTCTAATTTATACCTTGGTGAGATGTATAGGGTAAAAGAAATTATGAACTTAAAGTCAATGGATGAAAATGATTTCATTCGAAGGATGGTTGGGAAGATGAAAGAGAAGTTTGATAAGTATTGGGGTGAACGTAATATGTTAATGGCAGTGGCTTCCGTCTTGGATCCAAGGTGTAAATTGATGCTGGTTGAGATGTGTTTTTCGGAAATATATTCAAAAGTTGAAGCTAGAAGAAACATTGAGCAGGTTCGAGGGGCTTTGTACCAACTTTATGATGAATATGTAGCTACTTATAATGCTTCTAGCAGTGACCAATCATCCACTAAAGGGAATGGTAGCAATAAGTCTTCTACAAGTTCTAGTTCCAACTCTCAGACATCAACAAATTCGGGATGGTCAAAATTGATGAGTTATGTAAAGAGAGTTGAGACCATTCCCTCACCAAAATCAGAGTTGGATATGTACCTTGAGGAGGGTGTTTATATTTGTGAGGAAGAAATGTCACATTATGAGTTTAATGCTTTGGAATGGTGGAAGGCAAATAATTTGAAATATTGGGTATTGTCAAAGATGGCAGTTGAAATTCTTGCTATTCCAATATCCACAATAGCTTCGGAAGCTATATTTAGTGTTGGTGGTAGGGTAATTGATTCTTATCATGCATCTTTGGCTCTAGAGACTGCTCAAGCTTTGATTTGTGGAGGGGATTGGATTCGTGTCCTTCATGGGGTGAAGAAAAAACAAAAGATATTTTACACTTAATTTATACTTTTTATTGCTTATTGGCACACTGTTTATTTATTTATTTCTTTGGTTTATTGTTCATCAATTATTAAATTTTTGTCATTTTTCATGTTTTTAGGTGGACAAGAAACCTATTGAGATAGTTCTACCCGTTTCTTAATGATGCCTTCAACTTTGGATAAATTGTTTGGATGCTCTAAGATCAGGACTCAGGAGATGTGACCATGTCAATCATGGTGTGGATAAATTGTTGGATGTGGACTCAACTGTTTAGGATATTTAACTTTTGGATTTTTCTAGTTGCTTTATGGTTACGGACCTTATGGTTAGAAACTTATAATGGATATTTAACATTTGAACAAATATATATGGCACTAGCAATTTATATTTGATGGTTTTGTTTAACTCTGAATGGCACTAGCATCTTACATTTGAACAAAGTTTATTAATTTTGTTAAACCTATTTTTTTTCTTTTCACCTTCTCTAAATTGGAAACAAGGCATACTAGTGTTGCTTTGACAGTATTGATTAAACTTAGGAAAATTGAGGTTCTTGGCCCTACTGAATACTGATCGGACTGTAGTGGTTAGCAGTTAGCACTACTCATGGGCTGAAGTTCACACAATCCAAGATTGACTAACATTCAAAGGAGATTGCAGACATGGCTTGCAGTCGTAGGTATGCTAACCCTTATTTGGTCCCTGATTTCTTTTAGTTGGTATTAATTTCCTGTGTTCTCTTTGTTGCTGCCTTGGATTGCTTTGCAGAACTTGATATTCATGTTTGGTATATGATAGATTATTGGACGAACTTATGAATGATAGATTATTGCATATTGGTCATGTTTTCCTTCATTCAAATATTTGTGGTCATTTGATAATAGTGGCTTGTTAACTTTGCAAGGCTCCATCATAGAAAACTATATTTGAATGAAGAAATATAGTTGCAAGGCTCCATGATTCAAATATTTGGTCATAAGATCGGCAAACAATCTCACAAATTCTCTTGCTAGAGAAGGGTATATTGTGCTGATCGGTGTTGGATGTAACCAAATACTCCCTTGGATTCATTCCGAAGTTGGGAACAGAGCTCAGTTATTGATAGAGTCGTGGATGCCTGTTCTATGTGGAAGTTTGTTTTTGGATTTAGTGAGGATATGCATATGCTGCGTATTTGAAAGTTAGGGCCTTTGGTTGCTCTTGTGGTTTAAGTGCTGCAAGAACAGTATATGTTTACCATCACATAGATTCATAGAAAATGATGGAGAATGGAGATGCACAATGAAATCCCAAAACTCTCATTCATGGAGTGGTAATTGATTAAGTCATATGAAATCTAGCAGGTAATTTAAGGGTGGAAGGAATTATTAAGGTATTATAATGTTGGTTTGATTGCTTGAACAAGTCTACTTCCTCCTATGTTTTACTGTAATTAACTTTCTCTTTGAATAAGTTGCATCCAAAAAATAATAGAAATTTGTTTCTTTCACCCCAACTAATCTTCAATGCAGAACCAATTCCAAAGATCTTTGAAATTTTTATTATGGTACAGGAATTAGGAGAAAACTTGTTCTCATATTGACTTGATTTCTGTTTCCTTGGTTCCCTGGGGTTTCCATTCCAATATACAGCCAAGAAGGTATCTCTAGTGGATGTTGGAATTGTAGGAGGCCTCAGTGATGGGTCAGACGAGAAGGAAAAGGGACCACCAACTTCAGCTTTCATGGGAAAAGCCATGGTGGTAGGGTCAGGTCTTGGTAGATCTGGATTTACCCCCTTCAACTGGAATGGCTGAAAATGACTCATTTTCGTCCCTCAGACAACAACAGTTCGGTAGCTTCAAATGATGATTTTTCTGTTTTCCTCTTTTGATATTCTTCAACGCTTTCGCAGAAAAAGTTGAAGAATGGGTGTCTTGGTGTGCTTCATTTATTCTATGCATTATTAACAATATTTGGTTTGATAATTGCATGTTGTTAACTCTATGATGGCATTAGCCAGGCCTTTTTTCATTATGTCTCTAGGCATTCCAGAATATAATTCCTTTAAAGATATGTGACTTAATCAATACGGAGGATCTTTCCATTGTTAGATTGTGGTTGTAGCGGTTCTGTCTTACCCCAATTGAAAGTTCTATATAGCTGGGTCAAGCAAATCCATCGAAATCTGGCCAAGAAAATTTCAGCAAGAGCAAACAGGGAAATGTTTCCTACTGGGAGTTGGCGAGTGATAATTAACGAGTTAGAAGTATTCTCCATGCTCGCAAATGAAAGAGTTCGCATTGGTTCAGGATTATGAAGTCAGCATAGAAACTAGAGTGTTTGTGTTCCTTGGAGATTCTTAATGAAAGAGTGATTCTTTTGCATATCTATGCTGTTTGATTATTCCTGAATTTGCTCATTGGTAATAATCAGTTTGACAGAATCATGCTTAATCCCCTAGGCCCTAATAATGGATTTTGGACTAATGTTAATCCATGTGATCTTAGCAGGAGAAAAAAGACTTAGTTTTAAGCCTATTAAAATTCTATAATTACCAGCAATCAATGTTTATGGATGTAAAACAAAAAAATGACTACAAGGTTACAGTTGGGCCTAGTTCATATGTGTGATCCCTTTTGGGTTTAGTTCATATGTGTGATCCCTTCTAGAGTTGGCATTCAGTTTGGGACTTTGGCTAAGTTACAGACTTACAGGGTTACAGTTGGGCCTAGCTTGCCAGTTGCCACTTTGGAGTTGTCCAGACCAACTGTCTCCAATTCCGAGATGCCACAAGTTGCACGGTTGCAGCAGTCTTGTTTTTTTCTTAAATAGAGCCTGAACCGTGCGTCTTGCCATCTTCTACACGTTCATTAAAGCTCGAGTTCGAATAGGCTCGGACCATTATCGAACTCGACTCGAGCTCGAATATATAGTTTTTTCATTAGAGCCGAGCTCGAGCTTGCATTTCCAGTTCGAATCGAGCTCGAGCTCGAGTCTTATAATTTTATACCGACTTGAACACTAAAGGTATTTTAAGAATTTTAAAATAATTAATATTTATGTGATATTACATGTGAACGGAGTATGATGAAAAATTAACGGTAAGGTATTAGACAATTGTTGGAAAACTTAATAATATCACAAGACAATATCCAAACAGTAATAATACAGTTTGCCAATTTTATAAACAGTAGGAATAGTTTAAAAGATTTACCCTAATTTGAAAGACAAGCAGGAGTACGTAAAGGATGATAAGTATTAGAAACTCATTAGATGGCACCCCCTGATTCGGGCGTTGTTGAAATCAAATTTGACGCCTCCCGTTCAAAGAATGATGTTGGTGCTCAGTGGCGATAATAGCTAGAAATCATCTTAAAGGCTTCTCTTTGGATACCACCACAATAAATGCAAAAGTTTGGGCAGCATGAGAGGCTTTTCATGGAGTCTCTAATCATCATTGAGGTGATGAATGGTCAGCTTTAACTGGTGGGCGGTGGCAATTCGAAAAGCAAATGAAAAATGAAAACAAAAATATATTACTATAAATCCGGATTTGCTCATCACAAAACATTTTTTTGGGAGAATGACTGATCAGCCCAGGATTAGAGTTTGTAGGCTCAAAGTACTATTGGGATAGGTGTCAGTTCGGAATTGATATCAATTCATAGGTGGGCATTGATGCATAGAATGTGGGTTATATGGTCCTTTTGAATGTTTATAGCACTTTAGTGTAAATAAAAAATCTGCATTGGGCAAATCCGTACTCTGAACATTTTTTACACCATCGTATATAGTACATAGTAGCCATGTTTTGGGCAAATCCGTACTCCGAACAACTTACAATGACCTCACAGGCACATCCCATCGTGGGAATAATAATAGGGAGAATGACCGATTAGCCTAGGGTCAAAATTTGTAGACTCAAAGTATTATCGGGGTATGTGCCAATTCGGAATTGATGCCAATTCACGGGCCGGTGTTGATGCATAAAGTGTAAGTTGTTGTCCTTTTGAATATTTATAGCTCTACAGCAGAAATCTGTATTGGACAAATTCATATTTTACCGATAATAATACAAGTATAGGAGATGTTCCCATATGTGGTGGGATGTGTCCGTGAAGTGTCAGTATGTCGAGGAGATCTGTTCTCCCATGTTTTAAGAACACCTCCCATGAATAGAAAAATATGTATATAGGAGATATTGTCAATATATGACTTAAAGGCCCTGGTTGATAACACTTAAGAAATACTTCTTTTAAGATATAAAACCACACATTAATATGCTGTGAGGAGCAAATTCTATCTAATATGCTAGCTGTGGCCCCACGTCGTGGTGGGACAATACATACAAAACGATACTTCAAACTTTCAAGGCAAAATGATTCACGGTTTTAGCCCTGCCACGAATTGACTTTTGCCCCGTCACCAATGAGATCGGCTTCAATCAAAGCAAAATCCGTTCAAACACTGTTCGAACAGCCTTTATAACCTTGCATTGGGAATATCTCCGTACTTCTATGTATTCCCAATGCAAGGACTATGGTGGGGAGATATCACCAAAATGCTACTCTCGCTTTTCTCCTGTTCTTCCTCGTTCCTCTCCCCAGTTTTCTTTGTCAGTCCACTTGTGCAGAAAAATGCCTGTAAGTGCCATTCCATTCAGACCCGTCCCCCCTTATTTTCCTTGTCGTCCATGTTCAAAATCCTTTTCGCTCGTCCAATTTTCCTCTGCAAAACCATTCCATTTTGTTGGATTTTTCCATAGAAGAGGGCCAAGAATTATGACGGATTTGGTTAATACATCAGCTTTCAGAAGCAATGATGGTGATGAAGGTTTCTTTTCCGTGGAAAAAGAAGCCATCTTGGGTAATGAACTGTCGGAGTTTCGTTCTAATTTCATATCTGGTGGATTCGAAGCTACTCTAAATCGATTGGTTAGTCTACGCTTTTTTTGGGTTCTATGTTATGGCTTCACTCCATAGTTGTTCCATTTAGGCTTTGATTTGATTTTACACTTGGCTTGGGAACTGAATATTTATGTATGTCTTTGGGGTTCGAGTTTTTCTCTGGATATTCCTCCGATGTAGTGCTTATGGAATCCTTCGGACATTCGGAGTTTCAACTGATGTTACCGGTTGTCTTGCTCACTTGTATCGAACAACCAAATACTTCATATTGGTCCCGAGAGCCCTAAACATCAAAATTGCGGAAACTCTATTGCTTTGTTTTTGTTATGCGTAATTCAGTTGGGCAATTTATATGCACAAGACTGTTCCCCGATGAAATATGTAGACTATTTTTTTTTTTTTGTTGAATTGAAGTTTGTTAAAAATCTTAGAATTTTATATGGTTTTTGATGAATTGAACCTTGTTCCATATGTCATATTTCTAAGCTTTTTGCAAATAAATACTAAAGTTTCTGTAGCGACCATTTAGAAATCATCTTACCTTTTCCACGCCCAATCGTTTTGGTTAAGTCAGAATTACTTTCTTCCTATACAGCCGAGCTATTAAAGCTTTATAAAATATCTAAAATGTGATGACTGATAAGTGAAGGGAGGAAGAAGAGCAGTTCATCCCTTTAAGGATGAAACCAGAAAACAAAAGCCCTTAAAATCCTTTAAATCCCTGCAGCAATGGAACAAAAAACCCCTAACGAGTTCTCTACTTTTAAGAAGGGTCACGCATTTATTATTAAAAACTTGGCATTATATTTTTTCTTTCCAAAATCTCCAAGGTAATGCAAATGGCAGCACCTACTTCAGGACCTGGCCTTGATTTCCAGAGGCATAATAATACCAGTCTGTCATATAAGCATGTCCGTTTTTCTAGTGTAAGAATAGAGTGAAAATGAACGCCCAAACAGTTATGCAATTCTGAGAAACCAAACAGTTATGCAATAACGTGGTCCAAAGTCAATTTTATCAAGATAAGCCATCCACATGAAGAATTGGGTTTTTACCCAATTGGCCAAGCCTCCGAAAAATAACCAAACATGAAGCAGACATCAGCCTCTTTGCTTTATACCCAAGAGTCTTTAACTGAGAGAGTTGGAGTTTCTAAATGAGCAATAAGGGCTAGCATTGGCTCGATATAACCTGATAAACCAAGGTCTTATAGTTATAGTAATCCTATATAATAGCTCCTTTTGCAACCAGATTTTGTATAAAGATGGGAATCAAAGCATAAAGTTCTGGAGTGACATCATGCCTGGCCTCAATTTGAAGAGCATATTTCTGAGAAGTCTCACAAATGTTTGGGGGATGCCATACCAACTTACCAAGTGTCAGGTGTCAGCAATTTATCCAACTCTCCAGCCCAAATATTTAGCTTCATAGCCATTAACTATATCTGAGATGAAGCTCAGAATTAGGTGTGTGAGCTGCAACCAGATTTGTAACCATGACATTGCAGGACAGAGTGTCAGATAATTGAACTATAGTTCAAACTCTGTATCTGTATCATTGTATTCAACCTAAGAACATCAGAGTTTAATACATACTTCCTCTATGTTTATAACTGTATCTGGCCCTAGTTCATTTAATCACTAGAGTTTTTGAACTGAATTTACACGATCATCCATTTAGGGGGTCAATACTTTTGGAATTTTATTTGTTTGTACTGCATTAGTACCGACAGTTTTGTTAAATTGATGCTGGCAATTTAGCAAGCTATTAATCAGAAAAAAAGTGATGCATTTGTAGCACAATTTTTCTAGGATTTACAGTCTTTACAAGGAAAGTATGCAATACCTGGCCCTGATATTGAAATATTATCATATAGATACCTGAATATCCACTCACAAGTTATGTGGAACTATCTGGGTCTAGTCTCCACCTTGAATGATAAGTCCTTTCTATTTTAGTCTACATCAAGTCTTATATGCAGCTCAAGTCCACAAATAGGCCTGATAAAAATTGCAGGAGAATGCACATGCTTCTAAATCTTTTTATTTACAAAGTTACCAGGATGGATATATTCATGCCTCTTTTGTTGGTTGCAGAGCAAGTGGCTAGTATTTGCACTTTTTGGGGCTTTCATTCTTTTGAGGCATGATATTGAAGCTTTATGGGCTGCAATGGGGTCTGTCATAAATGCATGGCTTTCAATTACCATAAAGCGGATACTCAATCAAGAGCGACCTGTTTCCACCTTGAGGTCTGGCCCTGGGATGCCATCTTCACATGCACAGACAATCTTCTTTGCTGTCATTTTTGCAATTCTATCATGTAAGTTTTTGTTCTTTGAGACTATATAGTAAGGCCTATTTAAGATCACCATCATCTAATCCTGGTCCCAACTCAACGGGGTTGGGTGCATGAATCCTGTTCTGCTATTCTGTATTCAGTGCCATATACTAATGGCCCTTAAATCATTTTTAGATATTTCAACCTATGCCCTTTTTGCTCTGCCCCTTGCTCTTCTAGCCCCTTCAACTTGTAATAGATCACTTCTTATTGATGCTACAGATGGTCTTCTTTGTACATGCCCAAACCATCTTAGTGTACTTTCCCTCATTTTATCACCCTTTGGAGCTACTCCTAGGCTCCTTTGAATAAGTTCATTTCTGATCATATCCTTTCTAGTTTTCCCATTCATTAGATTTGTTGTTTCTTGATTCCCCATCACTATGCCTTATAACTATATTATAAAATTTTCTAGTAAGGCCCATTTAAGATGGATTCTTCTAAATGAGTAAAATTACTACATAAGGCACGTGCTGGATTCCAACACTCAACCTTTCTGTTCTAATTTGAGGCTTCCTTTTTTTCCCTTCACTGCATGGGTTAGGCTAAAAAACAGATAATTATTCAGTTATGCCTATTTTATATATAGATGATACATGCACGTTATTTTGTTCTATATTACCCAGTTTGCGAACTCAACAAAGATAAGTTTGATCAGTGGTTGTTTTCAGCAATGCTTGGTAGGAATTGGGAATGGAAATGGGAATTTTGAGAGCGACAACATGATGAATCCAGTGTTGGGAATAAACCTAATACTTTTCCTTGTGAAAATCAGGGATATCTGAACCAATAAACAATAAGTATGCAGCAGCAATAAAACAAATAACCAAATCAGAGCAAACAACAGTAATGCACACCAAGTTTTTACGTGGAAAACCCCTCAATGTGAGGGTAAAAACCACGGGACCGAAGTCCAAATCATCCACTATCAGCAATAGTAATGGGGTACAATGTTTTTCTATCTAGTTACAACTAGATGATGAACCTCAAGAAAACTCTTGGATACCAATAACAGAAACCATCACTAAAATGGATAACAAACAAGTAATTTTTCACCAAAGGTGGAAGCACAACAATGGAAGCAAGAGGAGTTGCTGAAAACAGATTTGTCTTCTTCGTTTCAGCCTTTGTAACTCTTCTTCTTCTTTCCAAAACCTTCTTCTCAAAACCCTTTTTCTGTTCTCTGATATTTCCTAGAGAACTATTAGAGTTGAGAGAGTAGAGATAGTGCTCTCTCCAATTCGTTGGTTAGCCAAGGACGTGTTGGCTTGCCTTGCAAGCCAATGCAAAAAGTCCCTTGACTTTCCAATTCCTTCTTTTTTTGTCTTTTTCTTTCTTTCCTTTTTCTTGCCTTTATTAGTGGGTCCCACCTTATAAGGAGGGAACCCCAACAACCTCCTCCTCTCGACTTATGAGGAGGGCTGCACCATGCCCAAACCTGCAATGCTTCTACAATATTCAAATTTTTCTTTCGGTAAGTCCTTGGTCATCATGTCTGACCCATTCTTGTCAGTGTGAATTTTCTCAAGTTGCACTTCCTTTTCTTCAAGAACATTCGGAATCCAGTGATACCTCACATCAATATGCTTGGACTTAGAATGAGAGCTTGGATTCTTACACAAGTGAATGGCACTCTGACTATCACAATGAAGTGTAAATATTTCTTGCTTCAAACCAAGTTCATTTAAGAACCTCTTCATCCACAATATCTCTTTGCAAGCCTCTGTGACAGTTATGTATTCAGTCTCTGTAGTTGACAAGGCTACACATTTTTGCAACTTGGACTGCCATGACATTACTCCCCCAGCAAAAGTGAACAAGAAACCTGATGTAGACTTTCTAGAGTCAATGTCACCTGCCATATCAGCATCTGTAAACCCTTCAAGTATAGGTTTACCACCACTAAAACACAAACATACTTTGGATGTACCTTTTAGATACTTGAGGATCCATTTCACTGCAAGCCAATGCTCTTTGCCTAGATTAGAAAGAAATCTACTAACCACACCAACTGCATGTGCTATGTCCGGCCTAATACAAACCATAGCATACATAAGACTTCCTATGGCAGAGGCATAGGGAACGTTCTTCATTTCTCCCATTTCTTTCTCATTCTTTAGGCTTTGATCACCAAACAATCTGAAATGATTTGCCAATGGAGCACTAACTGGCTTTGCTTTATCCATGCAAAATCTCTCAAGCACCTTTTCCATGTAGTTTTCTTGTGACAACTACAATCTCTTGGATTTCCTATCACGTGAGATTTTTATACCCAAAATTTGTTGAGCTGAACCTAAGTCCTTCATGGAGAATGACTCACTTAATTGCTTCTTTAACTAGTCAATTTTTGTTTTATCTTGCCCAACAATCAACATGTCATCAACATATAGCAAAAGAATGATAAAATCATCACTAGAAAAATACTTAGTGAAAACACAATGATCTGAACCTGTTTTACTATACCCATGCTCTATCATGAAAAATTCAAACTTTTGGTACCATTGCTTTGGAGCTTGTTTCAAACCATACAAGCTTTTCCTTAGTTTGCAAACCATATGTTCTTTTCCTTTGACTTCAAATCCTTCCGGTTGTTCCATGTAGATGTCTTCTTCCAAGTCACCATGGAGAAAAGCTGTTTTGACATCTAATTATTCAACCTCCAAATCCATACTTGCAGCCAAGCCCAATGCAATACGTATTGATGACATTTTTACCGTTGGAGAGAAAATTTCATCAAAATCGATGCCCTTTTTTTGTCCAAATCCCTTCACAACCAATCTTGCTTTGTATCTTGGTTATGAGCTCCTATCTTCATGCTTCAACCTGTATACCCATTTGTTCTTGAGTGCCTTCTTACCCTTGGGTAGTTTTACCAAATCATAGGTATGATTCTTATGCAAAGAGTCCATCTCCTCTTGCAAAGCCTTGAACCATTCTTTCTTGTGCTCACTTTCTTGAGCCTCATGATAGTTTTCGGGTTCACTTGCATCTGAAAACATTATGTACTCATTTGGTGGATATTTGTTCGATGGTTGGCATTCCCTAGTTGATCTTAATTCAGTTGGTGGCTCTTGAGGGGCTGCTCCCCTTGTTCATCATCATCGTTGACATCTTCATTGGGAACATTCTCATTATTTTCTGAGTTCACATTTTCTTATTGCACATCTCCCCCGTAATTTCTACACGCCAAGGGAGGAGACATTGGGTCCAAGTCTACAAGTTCACCACCATCTGCTTGAGGCTTCTCAACTTTTTCAAAGTCTTCAATTGTTTGGTCTTAAGAAAGACCACATCTCTACTTTTGATGATTTTCTTTCCCATTGGATCCCATAGCCTGTAGCCAAACTTTTCACTTGCATATCCCAAGAAAACACACTGCTTGGTTTTGGCATCAAGCATAAACCGTTCATCCTTGGGTATATGCACAAAGGCCTTGCAACCAAATACCTCGAGATGATCATAGGAAATATCTTTTCTTGTCCATACCCTTTCAGCAACATCACCATTCAAAGGAACTGCAGGAGACAAATTAATCAAGTACACAGTTGTACGCATTGCTTCTCCCCAATAACATTTTGGCAACTTTGCTTGTGATAGCATGCATCTAACTCTCTCTAGAATGGTGCGGTTCATTCTCTCAGCTATACCATTTTGTTGTGAGGTCTTAGGGACTGATTGCTCATGTTGAATGCCATGATTTACAATAATTCTGAAATGGACCTTCATACTCGCCACCATTGTCAGTACGAATACACTTGAGAGGTCTACCTGTCTCTCTTTCAGCCATAGCGTGAAAAACTTTAAAGACATCTATACTTAATCTTTAGATTTCAAAGCGTAGGCCCATACTTTTCTACTAGCATCATCTATGAAAGTAACAAAATAAGATGCACCACCAAGAGTTTTGACTTTCATAGGCCCACAAACATCAGAATGAATCAATTCTAAAACATGCTTTCTTCTATGAGGAGGAGAGCTTTGAAATGAAACTCTATTTTGTTTACCAGCTAAGTAATGAATGCAAGTATTAAAATGCATACCTTTCATGCTGGTTAACAGATTTTTCTTGGCAAGAATTTGCATTCCCTTCTCGCTCATGTGACCCAATCGTCTATGCCACAATTCTGTAGAGATTTCCTTCTCCGTGATGTTCATTTCACCTTTGCAAACACGTCCCTGTGTATGGTAGAGAGTGCAGCACTTGTTGCCTTTTGCTACCACTAGAGACCCCTTGGATAGTCTCCATTTTCCATTGCCGAATTGATTATTAAAGCCTTCTTCATCTAGCTTCCCAGCTGAAATCAGATTCAAACGGAGATCTGGAACATGTCTGACATCCTTGAGAACTAATTTACAACCTACATCAGTCTCAAGGTAAATATCACCCATCCCCACAATTTTGGAAGTTCCACTGTTTCCCATTCTTACAACACCAAAATCACCTGTACTATAAGAGATGAAATATTCCTTGTGTGGGGTAGTATGATAGGAAGCACCCGTATCAACAATCCAATCTGTGTCATGACATGCTAAATTAATGCATGACCCTTCACAACTTGTGAGAACAATAATATCTCCACTTATAACTGCAGTGGTGTCATTTTTTTCATTTCTTTCACTTTCTTTCTTATCTTTCTTGTTGTCTATCTTGAGTTTCCGACACTCACTCTTGTAATGGCCTTGTTTCTTGCAATGAAAACATGTGATGTCTTTCCTTGTCTTGGACTTGTCACGACTATGTGGACCCTTGCTTTGGCTTCTACCCCAACTTTCTGTAAGAAGAGCATATGATTTTGGGTCAATAGTTTTTCTTCTAATTTCTTCATTGAGCAAACTGCCTCTTACCCTGTTTGTTGTCACTATTCCATCAGGTGCGGAGTTACTAAGAGATACCACAAGTGTTTCCCAGCTTCCAGGCAATGAACTAAGTAATAATAGAGCTTGAAACTCATCATCCAACACCATCTTCATTGAAGCTAATTGATTTACAATATCTTGCATTTGATTCAGGTGTTCGGTGATGGACACACCTTCCTTGTACTTCAAATTTACAAGCTTTCTAATTAGGAAAGCCTTATTGCCGGCGGTTTTCTTCTCATACAATTCTTCCAACTTGTTCCAAAGTAGAACAATTGAGGTTTCATTTGCTATATGGTGATAGACGCTATCATCCAACCATTGTCTAATAAAAGCAACTGCTTTTAAGTTAAGGAGTTCCCAATTCTCATTTGACATTGTCTTTCGGCTTACCATTATCACCTCTCATAGGTGCATACAAATCTCTAGAGAGCAACAAATCCTTCATTTTTGGTTTCCAGAGAGATCAATTTCTTCCATTTAATAAAATCATTCTAACTGAATCTCCTTCCATGATTTACACAAGAATCAACACCAAGTTTTTACATGGAAAACCCCTCAATGTGAGGGTAAAAACCACGGGACCGAAGTCCAAATCATCCACTATCAGCAATAGTAATGGGATACAATGTTTTTCTATCTAGTTACAACTAGATGATGAACCTCAAGAAAACTCTTGGATACCAATAACAGAAACCATCATTAAAATGGATAACAAACAAGTAATTTCTCACCAAAGGTGGAAGCATAATAATAGAAGCAAGAGGAGCTGCTGAAAACGGATTTGTCTTCTTCGTTTCAACCCTTGTAACTCTTTTTCTTCTTCCCAAAACCTTCTTCTCAAAACCCTTTTTCTATTCTCTGATATTTCCTAGAGAGCTATTAGAGTTGAGAGAGTAGAGAGAGTGCTCTCTCCAATTCATTGGTTAGCCAAGGATGTGTTGGCTTGCCTTGCAAGCCAATGCAAAAAATCCCTTGACTTTCCAATTCCTTCTTCTTTTGTCTTTTTCTTTCTTTCCTTTTTCTTGCCTTTATTAGTGGGTCCCACCTCATAAGAAGGGAACCCCAACATCCAGAAGTTTGGGTTCTTTCAAGACAATTAGTTTGCTGACTCATAGTTCAGACAGGCCTTGGTCCAGTTAAATTTCTGCTCAGTGCTTGAAAACATTTTGGGCTGTAAATATTCCTTCCTGAGAATTTATCAAAAAATATTGCTTCCTGAGAGAACTGTACATAGTGTGCCAAACAACATTACTGTCTATGAAATTGAGGTGCAATATTTACAGTCTAGGTGTATATTCTACATTACTTTAAGGGAATTGATACCAGTTACCACACAACATGTTTCTGTACCATAGAATTTGCATTACAATGGTTACTTGGTGAAGGCTAGGTTGCTGTTGTTAACATTAACTAAATGCCCTTTTATTGAGAGAGTAATAGGACATATAGTGCATACTGTGCATTTTCTTTTCTTACATATTATACTTGTTTATTTACCTTTCCTTTTTTTCTTCCTGTGTCAGTGGTTGAGTGGCTAGGGATCAATGGATTCACCATTATTGCCGGGGTGTTTGTCTTGGCTTGTGGCTCATACTTTGTAAGTATCATTGCGTTTGAGTTCTTACAATAAACAAGTTTATTACTTTCTCACTTTTGTTTGGTCTTTTTGCAATGTTATTTCTTACCATGGAATCACTAAAAGAGAATTGTACAACCTTTTCACAACTAAACTATCTCCTTTGTAACATAAACATGTATAGGAGTAAACTTAGACAAGACAAGGCAGGAATAACACCTAAACTTACTAGGGCATCATTTGGCATTCCTTATTTTAAGGACTTATCACCTTTTTGCAGTTAAAATGCCCTTATGAATAGTAAGTTTTTAACTACAAAAAGGAGATAAGTCCTTAAAATAAGAAATGTGAAATGCAGCCTAGAAGCAGTATCTTTTTATAAATAGAGAACTGCTAAGGGACAGTTTAAGGGAAAAGGTTGGGGTAAATTGCTGAAACCTCCCCTGAACTTTATGACACAGTTGCAAGTAGACCCCCTCTTTTAGAATCCTCTAACAAGAGGCATGAAAATGTCCAAAATACCTATGCAGTTAATAAAGAGGCTGGTTTCTACAGAAAAAACAGTACAAACTTTATAAACAACATAAAAACAAATAGAATTTAAAGTTGCAGCTTTACCTTTGAGTGATTGATATGAAGGGAAAATTTGAAAAATAAATCAATTTCAGAAAAGAGATTGGAAGGGTTTGGACTAGTGATTCATATGAAGAGAAAATTTGGAAAATAAACATTTTGATCAAAAGTAATTGCATGGGTATTTTTAGACATTTTCATGCCTCTTTTTAGAGGAATCTAACAAAGGGGATCTACTTGCAACTATGTCAGAAAGTTCAGGGGAGGTGATTGCAATTACCAAACTTCAGGGGAAGTTTCTGCAATGACCAGAAACTTCAGGGGAGATTTCAGCAATGGACCAAAAAAGTTGCTTAAAGATTTGAAGTACCAACAAGGAAAGATACAATTTCATTTAAAACGCATCTAATGCACTTTGGTTAATGACTTCTTAGGAATTCTTAGTGTTGCAACCTTTTCCTTTTTCACAAAATTGTGAAGTCAGTTGGATCACTCCCAGCTCATGTATTTTCCTCATTCTAAGTATATAAGTTGGGATGTATTTTAATAGTAAGTTGAACTTCTTGGGGAATCTTGAGAAACGTATGTGGTAAGAAAGTAATGGATTGATATAACATTTGTATTTTATCTTGTTCGCAGTCATGGCTAAGGGTCTCGCAACAACTCCATACACTCAGCCAGGTCATAGTGGGGGCTGTCTTGGGGTCCATTTTCTCTATCTTGTGGTTTTGGTCATGGAATGCAATTGTGCTGAAAGCATTTATTTCATCTCTTTGGGTTCGGGTTCTTGTTGTTCTGGGGGCTACTGGATGTTGTGTGGCCTTTCTATTGTATGTAATTAGAAACTGGCTTATGGATGAAGAGTAAACTTTAGAAAAGATAATTTATTAAGCTTTGGTATGAAATTCTTTTGTTGTATGGTAACCATCTAACAGCTTAGCTCTGAATTGTGGTGGATCGAAGGCAAACCATCATAAATTAAATACCTGGAGAGAGATATAACTCATTCTTTTTCAGAAAATGTTTATCCTCTCTCTCTAGAAGTCGGTAAGTAGCATGGCATATCATCAAATCAAAGTTTCCATATAATGTCTCTCCTTGAAAGCTTGAATGCATGCATATAAATGCTGCAATATTGGAAAATCTCCAGTGGTTACAATTTCTAGGGTGTTTAGATGACAGATGCTTTAAATTCCCTGCCAAGCGACTAGAAATAGAGGGGGTAAGTTGGCTAGTTGGTGGACAAGCTCATGGTCATGGAGTCCATATTTGCTAGTAACAAAACAATCTTAGGCACATCACATTATATATATAGTTTTGTGCCACTGCCACTGTCACCCGTAACACAAGTTGCTAATTATATTGTACATGTTGTGGGTCGGAGGCAAGAAGTGGCCACTGGAAGCATATTGTAGGGGTTGGGCCACTAGAGTGGTAGGGGTGAGCAAATGGGTAGGTTCTACTTGGAACCAATCTTGAACCATCCATGAACCGATCCTATCCAATTTGTTACAAGGTAGGGTTTGGTTTCAACCTCTTGGAACCGGCCCCCACTCAGGTCAGTTCCAAGGTCTAGGGGTTTACTCTACTTGAACCGATATGATGAACCAGCCTTGGTTGCCCTTAGTGGAACCTGCCTTAGAACTGAAAATACTTTTGGGGATGTCAAGATTTGAATCCATGCACTCATGGTTACAAATGTTATATGGTCTCACTTGACCATTGAGTTACTTAAGTGATTTGATAATTTGTTTTCATTTTAATATTTGAATTTGTACAATAAGCAATGTAAAAGTTAATGTTTACAAAATTTAAATTTAAATTATAAGTTTTTGAACCATATAATGATAATCTACGTATTTACTCAATTTAATCAATAAAGATAAGGTTTTTTTTTTGTATTAATCACTTCTTTACACCCCCTTAGGGGTTGTTACTCTTTTAAGTGAACAGTATAACATCACATCAACAACTCTTTTCTTACAATGATGATAATAGCGGGATCCAAAACCACACCACCATTGGGATAATTCATCCAACACACCGAATGGACTACCCCTCAGTTGGTAATAAAGATAAGTTTCAAACTATTTATTATATTTATTGAAAATCAAGTTTTTAAAGAGCATGCTTCTTTTTTTATTTTTGAAGGGGGAGAGTGAAGAAAATAGCAAGGCAAGGTGCCTTTGGCTCCTTAGGAGCACGTAGGTCTCAAGAAATTACCCAAAATAAAAAAAAAAAAGAGATAACCCTAATTGGACACCCGAGTGCAAAGTTATGGCCTTTAGAATTTTGTATTTATGTGCAAAAGAAATGTCAAAAACCAGGATCGAGTCACTGGTTTTCTGGTTCGACTATTCGGTCACTGGTTTTGGCGGTTTTTTATCCACTACAGTTTTAGGGGTATGACCAGACTAGCCAAGCTGCCAAGGGCCCAGGTCATAGTTCAACCAGTCCAATTGATCAGTCTAGTCTAGTTTTCTAAACACTAGTAAACTTTCCATGGGTCCCACATAAACCTAAAAAAAGAACAAGGATATCTTGGTCAATGAAAACCAAAATCCCATTGGTTGAACGTTTTCATCCTACCATTATATGAGCCAATATCTACGAACTAGGTGGCTCAATTAGTAGTTGGGTAGTCCTAGTGGACATTAGTACCACCTACCTCTTAGAGTCATTAGTGGGTTGTGTTAAGTACAAAAAAAAAAGCCGAGTATCTTAAGACATATGATCAAGGTTCAAAATATTGATACACCCTAATACGCATGTGTTGATATTTTGAACTTAGCACACTTTTTTTTAGTTTTTTCTTTTCAAAATTTTAGAGGAAGTGGGAAATAGTGGTTTGGGATGAGAAAAGAGTAAGATGCAAGATCCCAAAAAACAAGTGAGCAGGATCCCACCAAAATAGTGTGGCCCCAATGAGAAAGGAAAAAAGTGAGACGTGTTTGAGAAAGATTATCGGGCTTTGTCAGACTTGGAATTTGAGAGTTTCTTCTTCCTTCAAACCAATGTCCCAACGGTTGTATCTTCGACGGCTTTTCCGGTGATCTCGAGCAAAGGTGAGACCAGATTTGTAATCCTCTTGCGATGGCAAGCCATTTTCACTTTTCTTTTATATATTTTGATGCATATGAAGATATTCCCCATTGTTAGGGGTAGCCCCGCTAAGCTTCTCATGAGTTTATTCGAGCTTGGCTCTTCTCGGTTTAAACTGAGCTTCGAGTTGAGCTCAAGCCCGTTGTATAGGCTCATTTGCTAATTGAACTGAGCTCGAGCCTAGTGATGGTCGACTCGTGAGGCTTGCGAACCTAGTATAATAAACAAATAATTTTTATTATATATACATATAGATATACATATACACATATATAATAATATTTTTATTTTTCATTTATAATAATAAATAATTTTTATAATTCTTAGTTTTTGCATATAAAATAAAAAAAAAATTATATATATAATTTTTATTTTTTAAAAAAAATTGGCTTGCAATCGAGCTCGAGTCGAGCTAAGCTCGAACTTGCAAGCTTTTGAACTGAGCCAACCTCGAGCTCAAGTCTCTAGCTTGAATCGAGCTTGAGCTCGAACCTAACACTATTTCTACGAGCTGAGCTCAAATAGCCAAGTATTTGGCTCGACTCAGCCCGAATCCACCCCTACCCATTATTGCAAAAGTCTTTGCAATGATCAAACCTCCTATCATCTTCCTCACTAGTTCCAACAAGGAGAAACTCCGTTCTCCTTGTGCAGTCGAGACTTGCATTTTTTTTTTTTTTGTCTTTCCTATTTTATTATTTCTTTTATAAGTATCTTTGAGTGTAGGAACAACCGAAGCTGATTACTAGTTACTATTTTCCAAAACAGCAAGAGACTTGCCACCATTTCCACCTCTCGAAGAGAATAATATAACTCCTTTCCCCAAATCAACCTTAAATCCACTAGCCCCAGAGAAAACCCTTTTCCCAAAACCATCAATAGTGTTATATAATCCCCTCTTAGCCCCAGAAACAAAATTTTTTAATATGCCAAGTGAGTAGTCATTCTTATCCTTTACAGTCCTTCCCAAGAGGGAAAACTCCAACCCCAACATCAACCTTTATCTCGGGAGACTCAGAACCAGGCAACCCAAGTTTGAGCTCAATCTCTTTGAGGTTAAGTGCATTTTTCTTCTCCTCCTTCTCGATAGAAATTGTGGAGGAGGTAGAAGAAATCTTCTCAAAGCCTTCCATGGAAGAAATCTCTGATAAACTTATGTAATCATGTTCTAAGGGCTTAATCATTAAACTTCAACAACAAAGGGACCTAAGAGAAAAAACCATGAGCATAAAAAGAATATGCACAAGAAGAAGAGAAGAAGAGATTATTTGAATTAGAGTTGAGAGAGTAAAGTTCCTGTGTTACAGGAAGATTTGGCATTATAGAGCAATGGAGGCTGCAAACTTGTAGTAGAAATCTATGACAAACCTGCAACAAATTCATGGACTATGTGTTGATTTCTTGAATTCAAATTTTCTCATTTGGGCCTAAGTGTTATTTCTTTCTCTCAAACAAGATTATGTACTCTTCTTAGTAGGTTTTGGGATGTATTTTTGAAGATGTTGAGTCTCAAACTTCTAAGTTGATAGTAACAATAGCCAATCCTGTCCATCAAATCCAGGTCTGTGGGTGTGTTGTATCAATTCTTGTGTGTTTACATATGTTGCCTTATGTAGTCAAGCCCAGTTTGGCATGAGTATTTCTATATAGTTTCCAGTGCATGTATGAGGATTAAGGTTGATAAGTTGTCCGCCATTTCTTCCAGAATTTGAAGTTAAATATCATGTGAACAATATGGACCACCCTGCATTTGTTGGATGTTTTCATACTTGTAAAATGATGAACCACCCTGCAGTCATCCAACAATCTAGAAAGCTAAATATCATGTGAATTGGGTGCATATCTTTTATGCAAGAAATTGAAATTACATTGGAAAATTTATCTGCCATAAATTTGGTGCATAGAAAGGTCAGGTCTATGTAGTTACTTGGTAGCATCTTGAAATGTGCTTGCAAAATAGTTAATTAAGCTAATGAGAACTTTACAACTAGAAGACAAAACTTCTCTCATTTGTACTTAGCCTTTATCATTTTAGTTAAGTAATGCCTAAGAACTTTATTTGTAGCCAGTTTTATTCTTTTTTAATTACATGTAAAGTTGGACAAGCCCATGCAACAATGCGCTCATGCTAAGTGAAACCTTAACCATGAACTAAAGATACTAATCAGAGAAAGAGAGAGAGAGAGAGAGAGAGAGGGAGAAAGAACCAGACCCAACTTACCCAATTTCTGAAAAGGCTTAATAAGGCCAAGTTAGGCTATGTTAATTATGCATAGTCAATTTGGCATATGGCAAAGATGATTATGTAAATAGAGAGAGAAAGAGTTTTGTAAGCATGGAAATCTTAAAACAAGAAGGCAAAACTAGGGGGGAAAACATAGAAAGTTGCAAAAAAATCATGTCTACCTCTAATTATTTTCCCACAAAATAAACATGGGAAAATGAATTTTCCATTATTTTCCTTTGTATAACCAAAAAATGGAAAGTGAAATTTGCACACTTTTTCATCCCATCCCATCCCATCCAAAATTTCCCACAATCCAAATAGAGCCTTAATCCTATTATTAATAACTCATGACAAAAGCCCCTAAATCCTAATATTAATAAAATAATAATAACAAACAAAGATATTAGTTATTAAATAAAAAATAAAGTATAAATAAGATATTGATACAACATAAGTAAAGTAATAACACAATAATATTAGTAAAACACTAATAATTAAATAATAAAATATTGTGAAAGTAATAATAATAATAATAGTAATAATAATAGTAATAATAATAATAATAGTAGTAATAATAATAATAATAATAATAATAATAATAAAATAAGTAT